GATTCTGAGCCATGTCTTTCAGTCTGAAACCACGGGGTTCTGTTGCCATGCTGACCCCAACTGAGAAATCTGCATTCTCCTACATGACTCAGGCCAATAATCAAAGACTTCTTGTAACTATGCCATGTTTTTGTCTGGCTGCGTCTAACCTTTTTCCAACCTCAACTTATTTCAGCCAACATTGTGCGACGGAGCGGATAATGTCTAAACATACGTAACATATCCCAGTCGCCTGAGCAGATGAAGGTCCACAACCTCACCAAGTGACTGTCCTCTTCTCCCTGATACTTTCCTCTTGACTTCTGCATTACTAACGTCGTGACACCGCGACACACAGCAACAGTGGCCAAACTGTAAGGTCTTTTCATGTCCTCTACCTTTAATAGCCATTTTTCACGACGATGTAAGAAAACAGAACGAACTGCAGCTCAGTACACTTGACCCTTAATAAGCAATCGGATATCACAGCGGTGCTATAAGTGGCGAAAGTGCCATAAGTTGGTGAAGGCCAATTGAACTTTTTGTATCCGTACAGAGACCAATGACCCATCAAAGCTGATCCGAATTCCTAATTAAGTGAAGTGGTCAATGCGATCAACCATTCCGCTCCCTAATGCTAGACAGGGCACCTCTGGATACAAGTCCTGGCACAATAACTTGCAGTTCGGTAAAGAAAAACGCGTTCCAAACATTTTCAAATTGCCACTCAATGTGTTTAGAGGACTGTTTCTTGTCAGCGCCTTCGCCTAACAAGACTGTGTCATGTATGTACTCTAGACTTACCGAGGAAATCAATCCCTGTGAAGTCAGAATACAAGGGGTGAATTCCAAAGTTACGTATGTGATGAGAGTGGAAAGGATGTACATCCTTGACGTAAGCAACTCATCATAGGCTCTAACACTCAAGGATGATCGGGCCCGCAGCCTTCAAAAGGGTAATTCGCTTATTCGGCACCCGTCTTAGTAAGCGACACTGTCATGAGACATCTTGGTTGATCGGGTCGAAAGCTACCTTCAGGTCAATAAAGACAGCCAGCGTTTAGTGTTGGCAAGTGTTTCTGTGTTCCATAACCTGGTGGAGTGCAAATATCTGGTCGGGGCACCCACGGTGAGGTGTGAAGCCCAGCTGGTTTTCTCATTTTTTCCGTTCTCAAGCTCCACTCAGACGTCTGATAATCATGGAACCTAGACGCCATGTTTGTCAGACCGATTCCCCTGAAGTTATCACAAAAGAACGTCTCACCTCTCCTAAAGACTAGGGCAACCAGTGATTGTGTCTAGTCAGAGGGGATCACATCTAACTCCCGTACACGCTGTGGCTGAAAATCCTCCACCGCCGGCCCGAACACCCCTCTGTAACTAGTCCATCTGTCCCTGTTGCCCCCCCCCTAGTGGTTACCAACAGCTTCCGTTACTTTATGAATGTTTGGATGTCCATTGTCGCCGTTCCTATTGAACTTCGCCAAGGGCGTACTAATGGAAATAATCTTTGGGATGTCTGACTTCATCGGGATCGACCTATTACCTGAAGACCATCTAGTCGACTTGGAGTATCCCGATGACATTGTCCCTCTGGTTGAGGCCACTGACAAAATGCAGGGTCTTGTGAACGATTTGAGCAGAAATCTGAGTACGTTTAGCATGCGTTTCACCGGTGCCTATCGAATGTAAGATGATGCACCAAGAGTGGTCCGCAGCCACTCCTAGTCTGATGATAAGCGGTGAAGTGATAGAATATGTCGACCACTCCACTTAATTGAGGGGTTGTATCAGCTCGAACGGGCTAGTTGCTGACGAAATCTCGGTTTGTATACAGAAGGCCCGTTTGGCACTTGTCAAGTTGCGTCACCTGTGGTACCGACTGGCGAGATATCCGACTATCTACCAAAAGACGCGTGTGTTGCGCTGCAGTCCGTTCTGCCCTGTTATACAGCTGTGAGACGTAGGCGCTAAAAGTAGAAGACATGAAGTGATTGTAGGGTTTTGATCACAGATGTTTTCGTTACATCGCTCACGTCTGGTGAAATCACCGCGTGAACAATGTTGAGGTCAGCCTGAGGGTACTAGGCAGGTTGACTGATGAGGCTGTGAACCTTGGTAGACTGAAATGGTTTGGATATGTGCTGCGTATACCTAACCACTGCCTACCTCGATATGCCATGCCAGGGAAGTTGGAAGAGGGTTCGCGGTGATCAGTCAACGAAGTATCCTACTGTTGGCCTAAACCGTGTGTGGAGATGTAGACTGCTTGGTTGAAGTCCCCGAGATGAAAGAAATCAGTGGTAAAGGATTATTGGTGGCATGGCTGGAAATTGTTCACAATGGCGCGGATGTATTCACTCCTTGGCATGATGATAATGAGCGAAAATCATGAGAACGTTAGTGGGCGGGTGTCTCGAAGCATAGTACGGAGCGCGCTGACGAAATGTTTGTCTGGCACAGTGGTATGCTGCAGTTGCCCGACATCTGGTCAGGGCCAGAATTAAATTTAGATGAGGGTTCTTCGGCTCAGTAAATCTGTTGATCTAGATACTTGACTTCAGCCCAATATTTCATGGGTTTTCAGATTGCCCACCTACTGGGGTTTGAAAAGCCAGGTAGCGTGATTAGCCTTCACAGTAAGTGTGACTCTCCATCTTCGGTACTAATGCGCAGACGGTTGGTGAGCGCATCCCTATTTCATTCAGCTGTCAATGCATATGAGAAGGCTGTTTAGAAGCTAAAATAATGCAAGGCGTTGGACATGATGATACATCATATCTGGGTCTGAGTCCCTATTTCACACATTTCCTAAAACCTGATGCGGCAGTTCATGCTCTGCAACAGGACAGCTAGTTTGCTGCAAAAAGTAGCTCATTGGCAATGATAGTAACATGATGAAAAATATTTGGCTGAACTGACCAGAAGGTCATTGGTAGTTTTAATATGTCACTAAACGACTGCCTTAGATATGAGCGAGAAAAGTGGATTATAGAGAAAACAAATCGCAGTAACCCTTCAGTAGCCAACTGCGTGAGCTGGTTTCTGTCTTGGCGCCTGTTAGAAAATACATCATAGAATAAGATCGCACTGATAAAATCACATTATTATTACTTGTCCCTTGGGCTCCAAGTGGAACGTAGGCCTCACTAGCACGTCTCCACTCCACTCCGTTCTCTGTAATCTTTTGAACTTGGCTCCACGACTGCCCACAAGCTTTCATCTCTTCCTAACACAATCTCCTCCATGTCACCCTCGGACATCCAACTCACCGTTTCCCATCTGGGTTCCTCTTGAGTGCCTGTCGCGTGATGTCCCCGAGTGGTCCATTCAGCGCATGCCCGTACCATCTCCACTTCCTCCTGCACATTTGTTAAGCGATAGGTTCTCAGTTAATTCGTTGCAGAGGACCTTCAAGCCTGTATTTTTTTCGATTAACTCTGGTCAACGTTGCAGATTTGTTCCTCTGGTAAGGTGTCTTTTTTCCCAACCCTAGACCCTGGGTTTTCATTGCCGAAGCGTCAAGCTACAAGCACCAAGTTTACAATCGAAGGTAGTCTGTGTCTCGAAAACATATCTCTAGGAGATGTATTTTTGGCAAATCTATCTACAAAGTGAATAGGTCTCCGTATAGTTTCGTTTATGTAGTACATAGCTGAACATTTCAGGATTGAAAGAATAACGTGCACATTCGGTACCAACTCTCCACAGAGCAGCTGCCCACAGTGAAGACTTTTTGTTTTGGAGCATCACTCACCGAACCTTTGTCTGGTCAGTCATAAAAAGGGGTTCATGAAAGGGTCTGCTGAAGCAGGTGATAAATTTTTGTTCTGAGCAGTCAAGTATACCACAAAGCTGTTCTATGTCTTCTGAGAAACCAGCAATAACGAGGCTGCCTCCTGATTCAGTGACTGAGTGGAATTCAAAGAGAGTTTAACTTCATCAAAAGGGAGTGATGTATTCTTGTGTTCTAATTAGATTAAGAAGGTATTTGAAACTGGGATTTTGCACGAAACTTGCTATTTTCGGTTACACATGGGTAACATGTGCGAAAGAATGCAATAGCCACAGAAACTATAGTCTGTGTTTTGATGTATAAACGTATATACAAGGTTGAAAATTTCACGCTAATGAGAGCAGCAGACATGAAAAGAAGTTAACGGTAACTAAACATTTGTCTTGCCTGATTGTTCAAGAACTGAAATAAGACCAATGTAACATGAATCCGTATTAACGAAAAAACTCTCCCAGAGAATAATCTACTGACCACTTCAAAGCCAAGATTACCTCCTGAAAAGATAATATTCCCAGTGTCGTGATATGAATAAAATAAAGAACCTGAGTTTGCAGCTATTATCCACGGCGAACGAAGACACCAAAATTGTGGTTGGTAACTCCTTAATAAGTCGCCAATGAAAGTCTTTTGGAAATGTCAGCACACATTGGTGCCTCATCAGAAACGATGGTTGGTATAGAGTAGATTTAAACTTCGTGTATAATTTCACGTTGCTCACAGAAGATTGTGCCCCGGATACGTAGGGTTTATTACAATGCAAGCCACAACACATCTAGCCGGAAACTTCCTAATTCATAGAATGTTTTATGCATGAGAAGTTTCAGCAATAGCTGCATTTGATCATAGAATCCCGCAAGCTATCTTTTCAAGTTTGTTCATCGCGAATCACATAATTTCAAGACGCGCTTTTCATAGATTAATCTAATTACTGCGGGTTCACCCAACAAATAAGCAGTGAAAGTTACAAGTTCACGTTATGTCAAAGCAATAAATGCAATCCTTATAAAGATTTAACTCTAATTGATATGCAGTTTATAAACTAAGCAGGTGATAACAAAATACACAAAGGTGCTTAGACAATTCATAAATTCCTTCTCTTGAGAATAAGGATGTCAAAGGTAAAGTATGCGGATGACAGAAGTGAAAGATTTCATGAAAATTGAATTTTTGACGGTCTCAGAACACTTGTTAAAACCAAAAAGACGGAAACTTTGCGGTGACTTACTGTATTCGCTCACTGTCCGCCTTTTTGAGTGCTAAGTCTCGTTGCATTACTGCTCTCAAATGTTTTAATTCATCATCAGAAACAGACGGATTATTCACATACTTATCAATCCACAAATTTGGGTCATCGTATTGTGAAAACATTTTTTGCATTATGATTTCTTTAAGTTTCCTCATTTTGATGCTAAGAATGTGTTTTTACCCTATATCAAATAGTCGCAATTATAGCTAGAATCCAAGGTCAAAATCGGCTGGGGTTATACTAAACTTAGACCAATGAAAAATGATACAGTATTTGATTGTGTCCTAGAAAGATAAGATGCCAATGAAACTTGCATTCCATTGAAAAATATCATACTGAATATCCAAATATAAGTAAATGTTGTTTGTTTCGCCTAACGTTCAAGGTCACCAAGGTCTCTTAACTGTTTTAATTCGAATACAGGAAATACCTGTCTTGTTTAGTTTGTGAGTTAACTACAGGAAGAGGACGTTTTTTAGAGTCAGTCTCCTATATACGTTTTCATATAAATAATTATCAAATACCGCTCGGTTAATTTTTCGTGATTTTCGATTTTGTCACACGTCAAATAATTTATTATCATGTTTATATGTCGATAAATATATTGCAGTGGTATCCCAAGTTATCCTTATATAGAGTTCTGTTCGTCCGTTTAGATTGATTGAGATGACATTCACTTAGAATAGACTGTCGAAGTTCGACTTCCGTAAAACCGCATGCAATGATTTATCCGACTCGGCCTGTAAACCCTTGCGCTTTACGTAAAATCTATAAACGTGCTATCAAGGCTTCAAGAGAGATATTCTGTTTCGGAGTCCGCATTTTGATTCCCTAATTATGGTCGCGTAGAACAAAATTCAGTGTGCAAACTGATGACACATGTTTCATCAAATCTTTGTCCTATAATTCTCTCTGCAGTTAAATGCTGGATTGCCGTAGCTTTTTGAGTCCATCGACTTATCTCTCTGCATCCCATATTACTTTTATTGGTTTTCTGAATATCTTGAGTAACTCACGCTTACAGTAAACCACTGTTATCAGGTTACTCTGTCTTAGCAGTTGCTGTTCACGCCATATCTGTGTGCTGAAAAGTTGACACTTACAAACTGATTAGCAGGTTAATAGTTGGAAGCTTAACAGCAGGTACCATTACTCACCCTCACAATGTAGCTTATTGTGTACTCCCGCCATACTGAGCCTGGAATTGTAACAGTTTAAGAATTCTGATAACATATAGCACAAAAGCTAGCTTTTGTCCTCGTCTTTATCGTGCAAGAATTTCCTGTACAGGTGGAAAAGATTCCTTAGTTCGTTTGCCCTGATCGAAACTCGTCCTATATGGCTGCTGATTTTGCAGTTAGGTTTACAGAGATTGAAGTGGTAAGATGTCATTATTATAGGGTCCCAATCTATTGAACAAACACTCAGTTCCATGCATGTTTCACGCATATTTGAGTACCCAAGCTGGTATACCAGCTGTAGATTGGTATTCAATGTTTCCTAACTTCAAGGATTTGAACTTTAAGTCAACAATGACAGCATTGGGAAAGCTGTTGCTATATGCACTCCTTTTAAACAGAACCTTGTTAATGTCCACCACTGAGATTGATTCTGAGCCATGTCTTTCAGTCTGAAACCACGGGGTTCTGTTGCCATGCTGACCCCAACTGAGAAATCTGCATTCTCCTACATGACTCAGGCCAATAATCAAAGACTTCTTGTAACTATGCCATGTTTTTGTCTGGCTGCGTCTAACCTTTTTCCAACCTCAACTTATTTCAGCCAACATTGTGCGACGGAGCGGATAATGTCTAAACATACGTAACATATCCCAGTCGCCTGAGCAGATGAAGGTCCACAACCTCACCAAGTGACTGTCCTCTTCTCCCTGATACTTTCCTCTTGACTTCTGCATTACTAACGTCGTGACACCGCGACACACAGCAACAGTGGCCAAACTGTAAGGTCTTTTCATGTCCTCTACCTTTAATAGCCATTTTTCACGACGATGTAAGAAAACAGAACGAACTGCAGCTCAGTACACTTGACCCTTAATAAGCAATCGGATATCACAGCGGTGCTATAAGTGGCGAAAGTGCCATAAGTTGGTGAAGGCCAATTGAACTTTTTGTATCCGTACAGAGACCAATGACCCATCAAAGCTGATCCGAATTCCTAATTAAGTGAAGTGGTCAATGCGATCAACCATTCCGCTCCCTAATGCTAGACAGGGCACCTCTGGATACAAGTCCTGGCACAATAACTTGCAGTTCGGTAAAGAAAAACGCGTTCCAAACATTTTCAAATTGCCACTCAATGTGTTTAGAGGACTGTTTCTTGTCAGCGCCTTCGCCTAACAAGACTGTGTCATGTATGTACTCTAGACTTACCGAGGAAATCAATCCCTGTGAAGTCAGAATACAAGGGGTGAATTCCAAAGTTACGTATGTGATGAGAGTGGAAAGGATGTACATCCTTGACGTAAGCAACTCATCATAGGCTCTAACACTCAAGGATGATCGGGCCCGCAGCCTTCAAAAGGGTAATTCGCTTATTCGGCACCCGTCTTAGTAAGCGACACTGTCATGAGACATCTTGGTTGATCGGGTCGAAAGCTACCTTCAGGTCAATAAAGACAGCCAGCGTTTAGTGTTGGCAAGTGTTTCTGTGTTCCATAACCTGGTGGAGTGCAAATATCTGGTCGGGGCACCCACGGTGAGGTGTGAAGCCCAGCTGGTTTTCTCATTTTTTCCGTTCTCAAGCTCCACTCAGACGTCTGATAATCATGGAACCTAGACGCCATGTTTGTCAGACCGATTCCCCTGAAGTTATCACAAAAGAACGTCTCACCTCTCCTAAAGACTAGGGCAACCAGTGATTGTGTCTAGTCAGAGGGGATCACATCTAACTCCCGTACACGCTGTGGCTGAAAATCCTCCACCGCCGGCCCGAACACCCCTCTGTAACTAGTCCATCTGTCCCTGTTGCCCCCCCCCTAGTGGTTACCAACAGCTTCCGTTACTTTATGAATGTTTGGATGTCCATTGTCGCCGTTCCTATTGAACTTCGCCAAGGGCGTACTAATGGAAATAATCTTTGGGATGTCTGACTTCATCGGGATCGACCTATTACCTGAAGACCATCTAGTCGACTTGGAGTATCCCGATGACATTGTCCCTCTGGTTGAGGCCACTGACAAAATGCAGGGTCTTGTGAACGATTTGAGCAGAAATCTGAGTACGTTTAGCATGCGTTTCACCGGTGCCTATCGAATGTAAGATGATGCACCAAGAGTGGTCCGCAGCCACTCCTAGTCTGATGATAAGCGGTGAAGTGATAGAATATGTCGACCACTCCACTTAATTGAGGGGTTGTATCAGCTCGAACGGGCTAGTTGCTGACGAAATCTCGGTTTGTATACAGAAGGCCCGTTTGGCACTTGTCAAGTTGCGTCACCTGTGGTACCGACTGGCGAGATATCCGACTATCTACCAAAAGACGCGTGTGTTGCGCTGCAGTCCGTTCTGCCCTGTTATACAGCTGTGAGACGTAGGCGCTAAAAGTAGAAGACATGAAGTGATTGTAGGGTTTTGATCACAGATGTTTTCGTTACATCGCTCACGTCTGGTGAAATCACCGCGTGAACAATGTTGAGGTCAGCCTGAGGGTACTAGGCAGGTTGACTGATGAGGCTGTGAACCTTGGTAGACTGAAATGGTTTGGATATGTGCTGCGTATACCTAACCACTGCCTACCTCGATATGCCATGCCAGGGAAGTTGGAAGAGGGTTCGCGGTGATCAGTCAACGAAGTATCCTACTGTTGGCCTAAACCGTGTGTGGAGATGTAGACTGCTTGGTTGAAGTCCCCGAGATGAAAGAAATCAGTGGTAAAGGATTATTGGTGGCATGGCTGGAAATTGTTCACAATGGCGCGGATGTATTCACTCCTTGATATTTTGTGAAGCTTGTTGTTTGCACTGACCGTTATCTTCAGTTTGTTTATTCTCTCACACAACTTTGTCTTGTTTGATATCTTTCCATTTCTGTGCAACTGTTCTTTGTGGACTACGGTGAAGTGTGGTAATGTGAGCCGATGCATCTTTGTGCGAGGTTTTACGTTGATTTTATCAGTTATTTAGAGCGTTGGAAGTCCTATCTCGATGTTCTGTTTGTAGCGCGATGGCATATCGCGCAACGAAATAGTCACTGGAGGCCGGCTGACCTGTTTCTCGAAGTTTTACTCCCCTGCAAATGAATCATAGACCTATGCGTTTTCCTTATGGCTTCGGTAATAACTCACTTTTTCGCCTCACTTTCACTGACAGTTCTACCTTTCTGTTTACTGTTACCTAGCACCACTACCCTTCCCACCTCTAGCTTTTCACAAAGCAAGACAGTCAGACTCTTACTAGCGCACACCAACCCGTAGGTGGGAAGCTAGGCCAGTCAGGAAGGAATCTTGAAAATATGTGGGATCTCATAACAGTGAACTGAAAACAGTGGTTTTCAGTTACAATTTGGTTCCGAAAATAACTTAATTCTGAAAAGCAGTAACTTCAAGCAGAGAAGGGATTTTATTTTACTTGTTGTCTACTTTCATCAAACCAACGGTAGAGACAGATGGTCCATGCTACTATCAGGGATTGTCGAAGAGGATCGGGAAGAATTTCCACCTTTTTTGTGTTGCTCTGGTCACATTTTAGTACCGCTACGTGTATTTTCTTACCGTGACAGGCACAGGAGACAGAGAGCAGTGGAATCTCTGTATGCTTAATTGGAATATGATAACTGCAGGTGCATATTTAGGGTAGGGACTGCTAGGCATTTTTCTTGGCGTGGCAACAGTCCTGATGAAATCTGGTCTAACCTTCAGTCTGCTGTAGGAACAGGGATAGACAGTCGGTAACCCTCATCCAAAGGTTAGCAAAAGCAAGTCGGTTTCCAGAACTTCATCCAAACTAATTGGTATGAGAAGATTCATTCTATCTGGCTTCGGCTACAGTGCGGAGCGAAAGCAGCTCAACCGTAAGCTGACTAAGATTCTTTCTTCTCAATGACCATTGATAGTAGTGGGCGGCGAAAGCCAAAATAATGAAAAAGTCATCAGCATTGGTTAGTACTCTAAAACTATTTAGGCTTATTAATGGATGGTTGCTGCGTGCATCTCTATCTCATATGGCTGTCAGTGTATGTGAGAAGGCTGTGTAGAACCAAAAATTCTTCAAATCACTAGTATCTGACTATTTCCCACCGAAGGTGTATAATTCTTTAATGGAATAACGTAGATTCTAGATAATGTTTGTGGATCAGTCGAAGCCCTATGAGACTGGTCTGGATCTTTTACTATTTGAGCTATTAAGAAGAGAGAGAAGTCTTGAGATAACGATAGAGGAATCGTTTGAATTTCATCACTTTCAAGGTCCTAGGTTTCATGTTTAAATAATACCCTACCTAACCCCAGGAATAAAAGACTCTAGGAAACCAGGCAGGTTTGAGATCCAAACGAGTTGTCATCTTCGTTTTTTGACGGGTTTCGGGACACAAGAATATTCACTTGTCGTGTTTCTTGAATTGATGGTGGCAGTTGACTCTGTCGGCTGAAAGGTCATTTAACAGCGTCTGACGTTGAATGGAATACCCAACAAGTATGTAATGTTGACCGGTGCTCTGTACTAGAATTTTTCACGCATCAAATGTAAGATGATACTTCTAAACTGTTGTACACAAAATCCTAGTTTAATGATGGGGAATAAAATGGTTGAATTCGTTTAATACTTCACTTACTCAGGAGTTGCATTCGTGCTCTTTGCGTTCGGAGTTTCAGCTTGGGTACAAAAAGGTCACTTGGTTATTTTACAATTTACGCCATCTCCGGCTAACTATCAAAGGATAAGTATACCGCATTGTAACCTATTATTTTCTGTTATACAACTGAGACGACTGCCAAAAAGAGATATGAAGAGAACAGGTTTTCAGTCTTAGGTATCTTCGTAACATTCTGACGTCTAGTAAGATCATTATGAGAAATGTCGAGTCTTTGAGATCAGTTCCCAAACGTATCACCTAGATTTTTGAACCACCGAATTCGGTTGTCACGTAGATCTTAATCGGAAAGTTCACGTTTCCATACACAGTTCAGATCAACAATCAAAGACTTTATGGACTGACGCTATGTCTTATTCTGGTCACCTTTGACCATTTTCTCGCTTGAACCTCCTTCAGCTAACAATGTGCAACTAGTTAAACGCCGGCTAACCATTTGTTTCTTGTCTACTATCATATCATTTTTTTTTATGCTCTTGTTTTCTGTATGCAACTGTTAAGTGTGGCAGACTAAGTCATTTTGTGTGTTAACATGCTCTTAAATTTGCCTCTGTCTGTATAACTTACAGTAAGACACTAAGCAGTACATACTTGGATTCGCTAGTGTTGGATGTCTGTTCGTCATCGTACAGTACCGACTGCAGGCCTAAGATTTTAATAAGTTAAGTAAACGTGACACTTCCAACTGTTTTTCACTGCAGCATCAAACATCTTAAATCATTTTATCCCTTATTTCAGATTTTAATAGCCTCCGGCATAACCAAATGAACTAAATACTACAAAAACTTCAAAATATTCATACAAATGGAAATTCCCGAACGACATTTCGATTGGGATCACATATATCCTGATGTTTCTCCCGTTTCCAGTAATCCATCTTACGCTGCATTTAGACTACGTCAGCCTTTAGATAAAAATCCAGGCGTATATACTTTGCCGAATTTCGACACCGAAGATAAAGATGAGTTCTTTATTTACGGCACATGCGTGTCAGTACGTGGAGAACAATCTGAATCCCGTCCTGAGTACGCTGATGATCCTGTAAATGATGTCCCAGTGCATGGAAATTGTACGTTTACAGCTGTAGAAGAAAGTTATGAGTCGAAAATTAATGAACTGCAGAGACAAATTAAGAAATTAGAGGCGGAAGTCAGCCAAGTTCCTGTTCTTCAAGATAATTTACGCTATTTGTACGAGGAAAATATGCTACTTCATCAGAAAGAAGAAATTAAAGAATCCCACCGAATTCAAATGGCAGCCATACTGACAGTACAGATGAGGAAGTAGAGGAGATTGTTGAGGAAGAGGAGGTTCGGACATATAAAAAAACTCCTAAAACTGATACTGTTGCTGGCGATACCACTAGCGTAAACCAGCTAAATTTAAACAAAGTAATTGACAAAAATCAGTTTCCTTCAGAATATTGGTCAAAGCTAGAATCCTATTTCTACAAACAATTCTTGTCTGAGCGCCCTGTTTATCGTACCGTCAGCACCCAGTTATCAGAAGCTAGTAAGCGCACCACAGCTACCATGGCAAGCCCTGTTAATCCATATAAAGTTAGATGTGTTGGTGTTAGTGTTTGTCCATCTTCGCAAGAGGTTGGAGTTAGCTGTTCAAAACCAGAAACGCGTGAATTCGGTTGTCTTTATTATGAAACGGAGTCTGTAACGAGAGAATGGTTAGACTATGTTTTCCCCAATTTGGAGGATAAATATAAGAAGATTTTGCAAAAAGCCATACAAAATTTCTATCGAAATCGTGAAGAATTTGTTAAGTTTTTGTTATCCGTTATGAAAAAGTCTGTTTGTCATATGAGTACTCAGACTGAAATAATTACTCAGTCTCGAGGGTCCTCACCTATGAAAGAAGAAACTAAAGAAAGTGTTTTGAACGTCAGTTTACTCAACCAACCTCCTCGACTACATGTTTCTGAGTTCGTACAGGCAATACCTGTGTCACATAGTCGATCTACTATGACGAGGCGTTACTCTGGGGTTAATGTTGGTTGTTTAACAGAATCTCCTGTTCTACGTAGCCAAGGTACCTTAGCGAGAAAAGATTTAAGAAGTTTCACCACATGTGGTGTGCAAGTTGAGAGTAACTTGGAAGTAGTTCACAGAGGTTGTGATCCTATATTTTCTGAAATTCGGCGCATTGGATCATCAACGCAAACAGCTGAATGGGAAACCGTTTCGTATAAACCTGAGGCAGTTAAAACTGCTAATGAAAAACCACATAAAAAGGACATTGTCATGAAATCCCAGCGGTCAACGGAGTATTTTGAGGTTAGTCATTTTCTCTCGTGTTTGGGTGTATATTCACCTGTTTTTGTAACACTTTTAGTGTTGCATCACCGATATTACATTCTGATTTTTCTCCAGTTATTATGTTCGACCCACGATGTAGTAGTAATACTACTAACTATGTTGTATCACAGAACGTGCTTCAATTATTTCTCCGAATTAAAGTAGTTGTTTGTACCTATTTTCTAATATCGTGTCAATAAATAGTCACATTAACATGCCGTCATTCGTTGTCTTCTGATTGTAGTGCGTCTTTCCGATTTCCTTATCCTAAGCCACTATTACTCATATCCGGATTAAGTGTCTTCACATTTTGACAAAACAGTTAGAAGGCGGAATTATCTGAATCTTGTGATGTCTTTCCATGATACATTTTGAACAATCTGACGACTCATTTTCTAGTCATAAATATTTATATGACACGAATGAAGGAATTAAGGGTGAAAAATGAGGAAAAGTCAAATGAGATGGTTAAATTGAAGTTCAGAATAATAATGGAAGTTAATCGAGCAAAAATGATAACAAGACATTGACCTTATTATCAAAGACGAATGCGCCAAGGAGGGTTTAATATGACTACAAATTGTTTTTGTACACAAAAGTGGCGAAGGCCTCGATAAATTACGCAATACATCCCCAACCCTTTTTGTAGTGTCCTATGCGATTTGGGCCATCACTCCCGTAACCTGTTTCGGCAGTGTTTCGTAAGTGGGGAACTTCGTTAACAGCCACCAGCGCATATGGAACTCGCTAACTTAATATTTTATTGATAACACTTTTGAATGTGATCCTAAGCCTTTAGTAAATTGATGGGCTCTCCGTGTGTAGTCTTGACCACATGTACCTTGTTGAATAAGATGAAACGCTACGTTGTTGTTTGCACTTTGTAAGAGTTCGGCAGTTCCTCTTAACCTGACTATAGCTGTGTATTATCTCTTTCTGAAAGCAGCTTTAAGTCTGTCTAAGGGTCACGTCATGAGAATTCCCGATGTATGTAAACCTGGTGAACAGTAGATGTTGGTGCTCTGACCACTTTGCTACTATCAAGTTTTGATTTAGTTATTTTCAACCAATATTTCAGTCAACATTCATGTCTTCTAGTTCAAGGTATTATCTGAGCATATTTGTCAAATTATGTCTGGCAAGCAACTGAATAACTATTTCTTGCACTGAGTGGGACAGGTATCTTGCCCGATACCTTCTACCTTGACATGGTAGTTGGGCTTGCATATAACAACGACCAGGCAGGCTATTGTGACTGGGATGATTGTCCTTTGAAGGGTCTGTTGGATAGTGGTATGACGAAAAGCAGTTACTATCATAGTGTAAATTGCTACGCTATGATGAGGATCCGATGGCAAAGTCGTACTGCTGGTTCGGCGGAGCGTGACACCAGTGAGGTGTTTCGCGTTTATGACCAGCAGTACCGCTCTGGTGCTGTCTTCCTTATGGGAAGGGAGCGTTGGAAAAGATCGGCCCCAAAAATAGCACACTTCTTACCCTATAGTCTTGTGGTGCTGGCACCAATCAATGAAGTCTTTGACTATTGGTCTGAGCTGTGTAAGGAAGTGTTAACTAAGTGGCTGAGGTCCCCGAGACGAAAGCAATCAGTAGTTGAGGACTGTTGGTGACGTGGCTGAAAATCACGTGTGTCAAGTTTTAGTGAGAAGTTTCACTGACGCCGTTGCGTGACCTCGTCAACATTATTTTTCCTTAGAAATGCAGCTGATTGAGATGATATGGATTTTGCCTTCTAATGAAGGAACCAAAAAAATCATTCATCTCTCGTTCGTAGAGGTTCGCATCTGATCTTTCTTGTCACACTATATAAAGTATATTTAATTTTGGATAGTGTTGGAAAGGAGCACTTTTTTGTGATTTGATAATTACTTTGGTTATTAGACATCCCCTTGATAACCTTTCGTTGCATTTTATATTTATGGTTTTTACGAAAATAATTTCATTTTAACAGTTAGAATATGTTTAGAAGAAATTCTTTTCCTATACTTTCACGCAGAGAGTTGACCAGTTTTCGGGTACTCAGGAATCTGTTAGCTCAAGTTCTCCTATATCTGTCATTCGGCCTCCAAGGTGTGATTCTCCAGTGTTAGGTGGAATTACAGTCTCATCATCAAACTGACTTCATCAGCATGTAGTCATTCTGAAAGCTATACTGTATCAACTGAAAGGCGAATGGTTGATGAATTATCTCAGCGATATTTGTTGGTGGATAAAGTTAATGTAGATGAACTTAGTTCCGGCGGACAGGCTGCATTTCAGGACGTGATGGCAAAAAGTATTGATCTTGGAAGTACACATGTAGTAAAGGAGTTTCAGCCAACTGTTGAAATTTTTCACCATGTAGGTGATGAAACTGAAGAAGTTAACTCTTCTGCCCTACCAAATGAGATACTTTCTCCATTTCAAGTAACTTCACCTTCTGGGATCCGTCTTACACCTGATATCACGCAACTTAAATCCGATTCCAGTGTGCTTCATAGTTCCAGTTCATCGAGTGCACCAGTTACCACACCTACCATGCCAGCTGTAGTAATACCTGTTATCTACGGACAAACTGCTAAGTTACCTGAAACAGTTCAAGAAATATCTTATCCACAGTAAGTGTTTTTCGTTTAGATTTTTATCTTATTACTGTTATCTTGACATTTTTAGTGATGTCGAAATGACGATTTTACGCTAACAAACAGGAGTTAGCACGTCCATATCTCACTAGTCACTCTAATACGGACGCATTATCATTTTTGCTGGCGGTGCTGGTAGTTGCTACCATGAAGCGGTGGTTGGGGCTGTATATCACAATGCCCCAACTAGCTAATCTTATGACTCCTACCATACCAGAAAAGTCTGTTGGATAACGGTGAAACAAAAACCGGTTACTGGCATGGCGTTAATTACTACTCTATGATAGGAGTCTGAGTATAAAGTCATACTGTTGACTGTATGGGGGTGTGACAGCAGTAAGATGTTCTCTACCGGTGACCAGATGCTGATGCTACTTCACCCTCGGGGGGATTTTTAAAAAGTCGGCCCTAAAAGTAGCACATTTCTCCGTACTCTGCGGTCTTATGACTCTGGTGGTATGAGTTTTTTATTTGGACCCAAGACCAACAAAATTAAGCTCCGAACTTCCAATAAAGTTGTATGTGAACGACCTGAAGCAAATGCCCTTGGGCTTTACGGTGGCGCTCCACTACTACTAATTTAATTTCTCTCAGGAAATAGCTTTCACGATGTTGTCAGTCGGGAAGTGTCAGTTACCGTTACAACTTCGTCAGCATTCAAGTTCCTTCAAATAGTGATCAACCTTCAACTCTTTGCCTTCTAACCTTACCTCACCTGTCGTGGTTCATATTCATATGTCATCCTTAACTTGTTCCAGCTCTACAGCTCTTCATCACGCTTCGAGTTCAGGTTAAAGCATCCCTGGTCTTCTGAAACCGCGCAACTGGCTACACATTACAGCTTTCAGTCACCACACTTTCCGTCGAATCTCCCAACAAGCTTCTCTAACCAAAACTCCAACATCTGGGGCCATGGATGTTTGCTGTGTTTGCATGATATGTATACAGTACCCGGATGCGGCTATTCACTCACCCCACTCGGCTGATGTGGTGAATCTGCAGAATTCACCCTTCGAATTACTGCAAATTTGGTGGCTAGTTTTCTCGGTTTTTCGGTCTTAATTATAGCATTGACTGCTAAGGTGGAAGGCGCACTGCCCGAGTAGATCCCATTTGACAGTTAGCTTAGCACTATTGGACTGAATGGCACAATAGGAACTATAACAAATCAATGAAACTCACCGTTGTCTCATCGTAATCTGTGGACCCACTGACTGCAGCTCGAATGAAGTGAAGCATGATTTCTACTGAAAGCCTGTCTAGCCTTCTGCTGAACGCTTAACGTTGAGAAGTGGTTGTCGTTTTAGGTGATATGAATGCACACGTGAGTAGGTTCAGTCAGGTAGAAAGGCACATTGGGCTTTTCTGAATCGCAGCTGAACGAACAGATAACAGTGGTCACCTACTACAACTATGCTCAAATAACCACCTATTTATAGCCAGCACGAATTTCATGTATAAAGAGAGACATTGTCGGACCTGGTGTCCCGCCATTTATGGCGCTTCCATGGTATCCAATTACCCATAGAGGACCGAGTCTACTCTTTAATTCGCTATGTTTTACTATATGGCTGTGAAACATCGCCATTTAAAGATAAATGATCTGTGATGGCTTTAGGTGTTCAACTGCCGTCACCTTCGTGACATAGGCTGTGTAGCCATACCATCACGTCAGAAACGTAGCATTGTGTCATATAGTTTCTGACAATAGAGAAAAGTAAGTTGTATGAGCCCTTATCAACTCAGGTGCGTGAGACAAGTGTTAAGTATGCGCAGTCACCATCTGCCTTGTTGCGCGTTGTTAGCTGAAGGAGGTTCAAGCGAGAAAATGGTCAAAGGTGACCAGAATAAGACATAGCGTCAGTCCATAAAGTCTTTGATTGTTGATCTGAACTGTGTATGGAAACGTGAACTTTCCGATTAAGATCTACGTGACAACCGAATTCGGTGGTTCAAAAATCTAGGTGATACGTTTGGGAACTGATCTCAATAGCGCAGATATGTTCACAAATGGCTTTCAACTCAATCGTCACGCCGAGTTTCACTATTGTCTTATTCCTTCTTGTTCTCTTCTCATGACCTCCTACCACTTTAAACGGCTTTCACCCCTAGTTCTTTAACTTTTATCCTGAAACTTACTTGATGTACTGATATTCAGTGAGGCAACTTGAATTTTTAAGCAGTAATCCCATGTCCCATATTGATATTTAGTGACTGATCAATTGTTGAGGTCACGAATTTCATACACGGTTCCGGTAGAATGGACAACAAAAATGATGACACATATGTGTTCTATTAAATTGGTCCAGTCGCTCTCAAGGATTTTAGATTTTGACTGGGTTAAACGTGAGAAATCATCTCAAAAATCTATAAGGCATAAGAAAAGTCTCGAATTAGTGTGTCTTTGGCTTATTAGTTCAAGTGTTATATGAGTGGTGGTTCAGCTCATAGCTTATGAGTCTTCAATTTTAATTATTCACCACTACCTAGCTGGAGTTGCTGAATGAAACTTTCCAATGTGCATTCATTGGTCAGGGAAAGCAACCAATCTCATCTTGTGTTGTCGTGAGTGCTAACCAAATCCTGTTCATTTTTGCAATGTGATCACCAATCGTGGCCTGAACAGTTCAGTGATAATGTCGCTAGCTACAACACTAGGTGGTGCGGGTTCGAATCTCATAGGGAACATCATTCGCGTCGAGGTAGCAGATGCACCTTGCTGACGAGCGCTAACAAGCACTAAAACTTGGTCTCAGGTAGATTAAGATAATGCACTTGATAAAACAGTTTCTATAAAGTATGTGCCTTGCTTTGTGAACCATTTAACTCCAGAAAGCAATGTGAATCTATTTTGTTGTAAATTAAAAATCATCAGAGTTCACTTAACAGTTCTCTCCGACTATAAAATCTAAGTGCAGTAGCCCGCTGACATTCGTTTGGCTGCAATGACCTTCTAAGTAATAATAGCACTGAAATGATCAAAACATATAAGCCATGCAAGATATTTCCGTTCAAAAATGTATTCAAGTTGCTGTTTCGTTATGAAGTGAATTTTCTCACACATGATTTAGATGTTGCAGTTAAGCACCTTATTGCCATTTTCACATCAATCTAAGTTCCCTATTCTGATGAAATTGGAATCATTTTTAACAAGCACTTTATCTTCCTGCTTTGGATCTTAGGATTTACGATCCAGCTTTGTTGGTCCAAAAACCTACTTCTGTTTCTTGGATACCTGTGCGTAATCATCGGTGAGTCGATTTTCAAAACGAAATTATGGTAGTTGCTGCTAAAATGAGGCAGTTCCATGTTACAGTAATGTAGTAACTAGTGAAAATTTTCTTTTTGTAGCTGTATAACTTCTTATTCTTCTGGATGGTTCAGTGAGAGTGGAAATGGAATGGGATATTGAATGATTCCAACTACCTGTTGTATTTGTTACTTTAGTGAACAATGGTTAACTAATCAATCACTTCTCCACCTGACTATATTGGTTATAAGAGACAATTTAGGTTGTTCTATCTTCTGTATGGGATTTATTTCTATGTTACTTATCGTAGTGAGCTTCAACATTATAAATTCACTGAAGTATGACTGCACATTATATCTGGAGAACAATAATGTCTAATCTTCCATGTGGTTTAGTTTTCTATTTCATCTCTCATAATAATTTGAACTCAATTTAAAGTATTATCGAGTCATCCACATAGTCTTCATAGGTGAATAACTTGATTATTTTTGAATAGCTGGAAATTACCGATTCAAACTTAATATAGTGAACTTTTTTCATTTCTTATCATCAACAGTTTTTTCTTGTGAATATAAGCGCAGATAATTTTACCTGTAACCATGACTATAGAGTCGATGCTTTGTCAACATATCTGAATACATCAGCTCATGTCAGCTGTTTTCCACAGATATGTTTCCATCTGATTTTAGTCAGTCAGGAAATATGTATTTAATGACGTTAGGTTAAATGGCTGCATTATTGAATAGCGACATCACTTTTAGATACGATTTGGCACCTTTTCTAATCTAAGTTGTCTAAATGCATCGCAGTAATTAGAGAATCTTCTATTGATTCTAAAACAAGAAAAGGTGTCTTCCAGTACCAAGTAATATGTCGTCGTCTGCATGTTTGTTTCATCTATTTACTGTGATCGTGCAAGATCAGATACCAAGCATTCATAACACATCAATTCGACGATGTTGTGTCGTAACATTGTTGGTTTTCAGAATAAAGTAATTCATCACTTTTTCTTAGTATAAACAGTTGAGGTAGATAAATCTGCCAATTGATTAAACTGCTTTGTACCATTTAATATCAATTAATTTAGTCATACCAGTTATGTGACTTTAAGTGCTTTTAAAGTACGTAGTTCATAACTGATCATATGATAATTCAGTCTTCTCTAGTGATAACCATAAAAACCTTTTCTGTACTAACCAGAAATTCTTAAGCATTTTATCGCTGTCGATAGAATTTACTACAAACCCATATAGTTGTTGCAGTGCTCTTAAAGGGTATTTGTCGGAGACGATGAATCTAAATATTATCTGGTAAAAACTTTCATTCTGTCTACTTCTATTTAGTCTTTTCATAAATTTGTTCACACTTTCTTTATGTGATATCGCATGAATATATCTCACTGGAGATTCTTTAATTGACTCTTGGTGTCACTAGCGCTTGTTGGATAATAATAGCCATCCAGTATAAAATATTGGGTTCAGACTTTGCTACAGTTTGGTTACCCGTTTTGTGCCACCGTATATATCGAAGCAGCATTGCTCCTAAAATAGGATTCTGTTCGGTGAAAGATTCGTGTGAAATTTAGACTATGGATTTAAATAGTGTGCAAAAATCTAAGTCATTTGCTTGTATCCCTTTTCTGAAATCCTTGAGTGAGAGCGCTTGAAATCGATCATAATGACGTATATGTACTCAAAATAAAGAACGTTATACTACTAGTTGCTAACTGTCTCTCCTTATTCATATAGTTGCTCATGTCTACTAAATTATGTTACTCCTGCTAGTCCTCTGCTTTTCTTTCTAACAAACTGTAGCATTTATGTTACGTCCCATCTTCGTGTGCCGGTTTTTTCGTGTGAATAGCTTGCTAACCAACTTCACATTGCATTCTCAAATGATTATTTTGTCCAGTTGAAAGACACTAGATATTGCGATCGGCTTACCTCATATTTTGTGATCAAATTAAGTACAATATTGTTCAGTAGTCTACTCTCTACCCGTAGAATTTGATGGCTCTTCGAAATTATCTTCTGATCACTCTTAATATTGATATTTTCTTTGTCGCAATCCTAGTCCGTACAATGATACTCTCCGATGAATAATATCTATACTACTAATCATGTTGGTAACCGACACTTACCACACTTTCTGACCTGGAAGTAGCATTTGATTTTGTCAACCGACAGGTGTTATGGCAATATCTCACTGCAAAACGAGTACCAAGTACGTATATAACGCTAATCAAAGCTCTCTACTCGAATTTGTGGAAAGTTTCCATTTAGCTTGACAACAGCTAGTGGTGTCTGCCAAGAATGCTTGCTGTCACCCTTCCTGTTTAATTTCGTGATAGATGTATTAATGTGAAATAACCCTAGATACGTCTGACCACGCGGATTGATCTACTGGTAGGCTGGGGGACATTTGATTGACTTGGAGCATACAGATGACATTATCCTGCTAGAGGAAGCCGCTGACAAAATGTAGAGTTTACTGGACGCATTGGGAGAAAATCTGAATATGGTTGGCATGCGTTTTGCATCTGTTATATGTAGGATGATGCTTCAAGCCTGGTCTGTAACTACTCCTGTTTTAAGGATAGAGAGTGAAGTGATTGGTTTTATTGATGACTTCACTTACTTGGGAGTTACATCAGTTCTAATAGGCTGATCGCTGACGAATTCTCATCTCGGTTGAGGAAGTTATATTTAATATTTTCCAAATTGCGTCATATCTGGCGCTCACTGGGAAGATATCCGATTATCTATCAATGAACGAAAATACTGCGCTGCAGTCCATTCTTTACAGGTTTTTAACTATTGGTGTCTTCATAGCTGTGCTCGTTTATCGTGGAATCGCCATGTGAGCAATGTCGAGGTTAGGCAAAGCATATGAGATAGAACGGAAAGCAGTTTATGAGTCTATGAATCTTCAGCGACTGAGGTGACTTGGCTATGTGTTGCATATGGCCAACTAACGCATACCTTGACGTGGCGTGCTAGGGGCAGTTGGATTTAGTTGGAAGAAGGTCGTGAATGACCAGACTATGATGTGGCATTAGTTGATAAAGTCTTCGACTGTTGATCTGAGCCGTATGTGGAGGTGGAGTCTTCCTGGCTGGGGTCGATGAGCACATAGGAATCAATGGTTGAGGCCTGTTGATAGCAGTAATGAAAATCGGTCACAATAGCTCAACTATATTGATATTTTGATGTCTTCTCCTGTACACTTTTTTGCACTTTTAGATCATTCTTTTTCTGTTCACTTATTCTTTGTATGCTACTCTGAAATGTTGCAACTTGAACCGATACACTTCTGTAAGAGGTTCTACGTTAGTTTTTTCATCAATCCTGGTTGTTGGGAATCGTTTTTATGATGCCATAGTAGGTATATTGTTAGTATTAACTGATTCATCACTGTAGTCAGTCTAAAAATGTAAGTAACCCTATCCTATTCATTTTGAGGGTGAAGTTGGTGATGCAATCACAACCAAGGTTACTTAGTTGCTTTTTTGTGAAAGCTTCTATATCAATAAGTCTTTTCGTACTTTTAAGTATGCTACGTTCATTCTTTTAATAGGCAGCGTCTTAACATATTTTGGTAATTGTTCTACATTTACAGTTTTACATTTTTTCTTCAGAAATTGTTTGTGTAAAAATGTAAAGCTATTTCTTTATTGATATGATGGTGAACAAAGGGCTTTAAAAAGGCTATAGTTTTCTTAAGGCATATTGCGCAGTTGGTAAACAATACCATTCATCTGACCATGAGTCAACATACAATAAGTATAAAACCAATTAAATGCTACTATCTATTTAAATAAATGTAACTTTTTTATGAAAAAAAGATGAGCTGGGTATAGATTCGTTAGTAGAAGACGGTACGAATATCACACTTATTCACTGTTGTATGAAAACGTTCTCAAATCCCCTTAGTTGTAGTTTTCTTCCTTTTTTTCGCATGCTTAGGCAAAATCTTATTATCAAGAAAAGCAAGTGAACAAGGAATATTCTCTTCGATCTTCAGGTTCTACGATTTTATGTACATATTGAGGAGTTACACATCAACAATATTAGTTTGTCAATAATACTATACATTTGAGGAAGTCAATCGAGAAAAGTCGTGTGTGAACGTTTGTGATAGGTATTTATGAGAGTCGGATGAAATAAATTAAGAATGATAAAAAGGTTAGAAGAATTTGTTAAAATTATTTAAGATTATAGGGAAGACGACATCATCAGCAGTAACTTCAGTACGAAGACCATCCACCTGAGCTACAAATATTGTCCATTATTTCAACTTATCTTTCAGTCCTGGTGTCACAATTGGGAGTGTGGAAAACGAAATTTGTAATTTATCAGCATTGAAAGTTCTCTGAATTTATCTGCGAAGTTTCGGAACTAGTGTCTCGCTGAGCATGTCACCTCTGAATTGTACCCGAATGTACAGCAGTTTTCTGATAACTGTTGAGAAATCTTTCCTTCGCATTTTTGTAGTCATATGTTTCTTTATGAATTTAACAGCATAGTCATTGTCGATTAGTGTGTTGACAAGGTTACCAGTTCCTCCTCCACTATATCTTCAGAACACATAGCCTTTTTTGTACAACTTAAAGTTTTTACTAAATTTCTTCAGAACTGAGCGGAGGCGAAGCTGTGAAAATGTTTGTATTTCCCCGTCCATATGCTTCTCCTAAACAAATTCCTCTCTGTCGACCCATCTTTCCGTCCTGAGAGAAGAACATCAATAAAAGCTATTTTACCTTGTGACTCTTCCCCACGAGTAAACTTCATTGCTGCGTTGAATCTGCTGAGGATCTTTAACCTGTCCATGTCGTTCTAGCTCAGGATGAATGTATTATTCATATATCGTTAGTAAAATGAAAATTTTCTGATTTATCCTTCAAGTTGAACTATTCTCTAGTTTTGATAGGAAAAGGTCCGCTAATTTGCGACCTAGTGGAGAGCCTATTGCGACTCCATCCACTTATCTGTTCTCAGTTAA